TTTGGGGGAATTTTATATCAAAATGGAATGAAATTTGGAATTATGTTATTAATTTATGCAAAATCCGTTAAAAATTCGGAAATGCTAAGATAACCCGTTAACGATCAACTATGGCGAAAAATATATAAAAAGCAAAGTTATTGGAAACTACTTTACTAAATTTTGTTATATTTGATCATTTTCAAAATATTTTTATCTATTTCTGGATTTTTGGACGACCCAATATACCGGGACAACAAATGATTTAATACTTAATAATATTAACTTCAGATAATTTGTAAAATAAGTATTATATATTTGTATGAATTGTTTTTAAGTCACGGACATTTTAAATTGTATTAAAATTTTAATAAGTCAGTTCTGTGTGTTTCACATATAGAACTTACTTTCAATAGCTTTTATTTATAAATAATCCATAAGCGCAATATAGTTTGATTTATCTGTATAATTAATATTCGCTTTTAACTGTTAATTAAGTTGTTAATAATGTTATTGCTAAATAAGCTCGTATCAAGATTACTATATAATAAAAATGCTCTGGCGCATCTTGAATATCTATATGAACTGTAAAATTACTTCTCATAATCTCAGAGAATGTAATTTGAAAGTATTTCTAAAAGTTTGTTTTTCTTGTGTGTATATTACATATATATGTACAGGATGAGCGTTACTTAATGTCTGACAGAGCTATAGCTTTTTATTTATTAATTTTAAAAATATTTTTGACTTTGAAAAAATAGCGTGGCCAGAAACAGTTATGTATCGCATCATCGAATGAAAAATTATTTCAACACAAAGAACGTAAAGGCCAGTCGCTTTTTTTCCTGTCAAATAATTAAAAGATTAAAATAAACATTATAGCACGTAATGACAATTTGCCTAATCGATTTCTTTGCTGTAATACAGAAAAATAAATCAATTTTAAATATTTATGATGCACGAGGCCAGAACAAATCTTAATTAAGGCCTGAACTTTCAATTTTACAAGCTTTTTAATGAGAGTTCTGATAGATTATTAAGAAACTTGTATGATTTAATATTTGAAATGTTTGCTAAAAAAAATAAATTTTAAATAATACTGGTCTTTAAGGTCTCTAAAACTTTTTTTAATGAGAACTTCGGCTAAGTAAGATGGCGAGAAACTTGTGATTGTGTGTAATGTTTTACTCTAAGAAAAAAGAAAAAGTTAATGTAATCTAGAAAAGAGGGTGTAGGAAAGTAAAACATGTTTGTGTTTCAATAAAGTTTCTTTCTATCTTGTCAAATATTTCTAATATGTTTCCTTTGATGAAAATGTCCAAGGAAAAGAAGCGATATGAAAGAGGAATCTTGTTTGTATCTCTCCTTATTTTTGTATGGAATTACTTAATCGATACTTCTGAAGCGAAACGTGTTACGATTTTATTTTTAATGATTGTCTTAAATGATTTTGAAATATATAGTTATAATTATTTCATTAACTGGATAAAATCTTGAATGTAACCATCCGAAACTGATGGCAAAATCTATAATGATGTTATGACTCATTTAATTTATGTTGATTAAAAGGCACTAATTAATTTCAAGGAACCGAAATGACATAACGCATATAAAAAAGAATGAATACATTTAATACACCGACACAGGTGTCTTTCTATCTTTATTATTCATTGAATTCAAGAAAGAACAATGTTTGTTCGCCTAAAAGGAAAGTAGCCTGTGTCATCCACACATAGACTTCTATGTATCCACATGTACGTCTGTGCATTCACAGTTGTTGCTTTCTTTTTAGAAAAAAAACAAGGTGCTTTCCAGCAAGAGACAAATGACAGTGCAACACAGTGAATCATTTCATCTTTATTTAACACTGATAAATAACAAGGATATAATTCACTGTATTATACTGTGCCTTAAGAAACAGGTAATAGACTATTTTTCCTTTTAGCAGATACAATTTATATCTATCCTTGATGTTCAATGAATAATCTAACAAAGATTGAACATCAAGAAAGATAGAATAATCCTAATACAGAGCTCTTAAATAACTTGTGTTATCTGAGTTTCTTGCTGTAAAAGAGTTTCTTGCCTCATTGAATGGATTCAATAAATCCATCAGAGGGTTAAAATTGAATTATGAACATGATCTCTGAATACCTGGCGACAAACACGACAGAATCCCTTCGCGATCTCATCATATCTGGATATTTGCAAATATGTGATCATTTGTGAAGACTGCGATCCTCATCGTAGTTGAGGTGGACGCGGTTTGAAAATTCGAGATTCGAGATCGCCGCGAGACGAAACACGTGTTGCGCACGCGCATTCGGTGACGCAAGGTGGCCACCACACGGGGACGAAATCGTGTCGAAGTTTGTGGACGGCTGTCACTGCTTTTTTGTGACTGATGTTTTGCGCGATTAATCCGCTTTGTTAATTCGCGATCGCGCGGTCGCGAGCGTGCACGAGGAATACGTGAGCGAATCTCCTTCTCCCGCGATTTTTCGCGCGCAGTAGAGCCACGCGTCATCGCCCGTCTGTGCTGTCATCGTGTCCAAAAGTCAAGATCCCGTCGGGACAGCTAGGAGCAGACAGAGAAGGAGAGACAAAGACAGAGAAAGAGAGAGAGGGAGAGCGAGCGAGAGCGAGCGAGAGCGAGCGCCACCGGAGGAAGGAGAACGCGCCTCATCAAATGTCTCGGGGACGAGACGGTTAGATATCTTCGGTGTTGAGCGAAGAAAGAGAGAGAGAGAGAGAGAGGGAGAGAGAGAGAGGGAGAGAGAGAGAGAGAGAGAACAAGAAGCATCGTCCGCGAAGCGCCAGGAACTCGTGGTGAGCGATAATAATCGCTCGGGGAAGCTCAGCGGCGGCTGCGACGATCCTGTGCCATCATCGCAGCGACAATGGCAAAGACGTACGATTATTTATTCAAGCTGCTGCTGATCGGCGACTCCGGCGTGGGCAAGACCTGCGTGCTGTTCCGGTTTTCCGAGGACGCGTTCAACACCACCTTCATCTCGACCATCGGTACGTTTATGTCGGTACACATTTCTCCCCCACCTTCCCGCGATCTCCGTCTCATTTCTACGTTTATTAATCGCTGCCTATGGTGGCGCGGACCGGGGTGTGTCTCTCTCGAGAAAATGGGCTGAATGTTATTTGATAATGGACAAAGAGCACATTATGCTGCACCATTTACAGTAACGTGATTCATTCTGTGTCGTGTGCTGTCCGACCTCGATCCGCTACTTTCTGTTTCCCCGTATCTCCGGAAAGTAATTAGAATCTTGATTCATTATTTCCTTCTACGTTTCAGGCATTGACTTTAAGATCCGTACCATCGAATTGGATGGAAAGAAAATTAAGTTACAAATATGGTAAATATACTTTATGTTCTTCCTTTTGTTCGTTATATCAAGAGCAATTTAGTCTCATAAAATCGTATGATTATAATGATATAGATTGTAATATAACTGCAATATAACGGATGTATTTTTTACACTCATAGGGACACTGCTGGACAAGAAAGGTTTCGCACCATAACTACAGCGTACTATCGTGGCGCGATGGGAATCATGTTGGTATACGATGTTACAAATGACAAAAGTTTTGAAAACATTAAAAACTGGATTCGTAATATAGAGGAGAATGCGTCAGCGGACGTGGAAAAAATGTTATTAGGCAATAAGTGTGAGCTTACAGACAAGAGGCAAGTGACGAAGGAAAGGGGCGAACAACTGGCTGTGGAATATGGCATTAAGTTTATGGAAACCTCGGCGAAATCTAGTATCAATGTAGAAGAAGCTTTTTATACTCTGGCACGTGATATCAAAGCGAAAATGGAAAAGAAACTGGTGAGGAAACATGAATCGCATCACATATACTTCAAGAGATTAAGATATTGATTGTCCGAATATATATTACTCTGTAATTAGTATTCATATTTCTGCAATTAATACGCTATAATTAGTATTTATGTTTCAATGTGTAAAGCCATGACACATGTAAAACATACTACTATATACAGAGATATTAATAATTAGAATAATATAAATTAGAGGAAGATACGCTTAATTATATGTAAGTTTTCATATGAACATTTTTATCTTATATGTACTACAAAATAACCACTGTTTCTCTGTTTCCTGTCTCTGTTTCTCTGTGTTTGGTGCTGGTCTATCTTGGCAGAAGGTAACTCTCTTTGTACACCGTTGGTTTTATATATCATTTGTGGCTTCTATTCATTAATTTGTTTTAATAAGCAAATGTCTATTAAAAAGCTATATATAATTTTATGTTAATCAAATATCTGTATTAACTCAAAACAATATTTATTGTCTCAATTATTGTTTGTGTGTCTGATATCAATTTCAATTTATATTAGGTCTGTTTTTTATAACTAAACTAGTGTACACTTTTAGAATTTCAAATAGGTGTATATTTGATATTTAGCTAAAACGAACAAGATAGTTCTGGTGCAGGAAAAATAGATCCAATGTCTTGCTTGAATAGTATAGATGTCATTTTAATTTTGCATTATATTACACTAAGCTTGTCTAACACTGAATTTATGTTATATTATTCCCAATTAACTTTGTGATAAATTATTTCTAATAATCGAAGAAATATAAATCACAATGAGATAACACGCATGCTGTGTTATGTTTACATTTACTAACACATTAATTGCTAGACCGAATAATAAATAATATTTAAACTGATTATGAACAAAGTGTATACAAAATGGCGTGAGATTACAATGGATTTTATGCACTAAATATATTTTTTACGTTATATTATGCTTTCTATTAATACTGTCTTGTTTTATATAGGAGGCATCGAATCCACCGAAAGGCGGCGGTCATCAGTTGAAAGCTTCAGAACCACAAAGGAAGCCACCTAGTTGGCTCGCCCGTTGTACTATACTCTGACCCCCCAAATATTTTCAACTGTTCAAGGAGGCGCATCTATTTACTATCATTATTTACTTATGTTCATTTCGTCGAACAAAACCGATGTTCTGTGGAACTTTTCACATCCCAAGTATCGGGTATAGTGGGTTTATTCCTTGACAATGAAACGCATCGTATTAAAGACTCGGAAATTATCTATATGAATGTATTTTTTTGCCGAAGAAACCCTCAGAGGAGAAAGTATTAAAATGTTTTATTTTTATTATATAGAAAGGGAGTACATACGTGTTAATTCATGCAATTTTTACAATTTGTTATGCAAACATTTTCTTGTTACTCAATATAATTAAAGGGACTTAGATGAAACAGTTTCGCGTTGGTTTATGTTGACGGGATTTATATCCTATTGATGTAATCTATATCTTATTGTATCTCTTAACTCTAATTGGTATTCGCTCTAAAATTTCCTTAACTGAAATTTGCGGGTCCAGTTTACTTTAAATTAGTATATCTTTGTTTAAAGTTAATGACTTTTTTGTTTGAAGATCAAAATCCGAGAAATAAGATTATGTATTTTAAAATTATGTAGATTGTGAAAAATTATAAACAAACGTAATTAAAGAAAATGTCCGGATCCACTGGATCCACGAATACCGATTAGGGTTAAAAAGTTATTACAACATAATTTATTAAATCAGATAAAAATGTGATATATTAAGCACAGAAATGAATTTCTCCTCTGGTTTTCTTATATCAAGGGTAATGGTCGATTTTCTTATTGAAAAATCACTGTTAAATATAAAAGTACATGTTACTTAATTTTTATGGCAATGGGATGAAGTATACAATTTCTTATGCACGAAATTCTGCAATTCATATTTAAATATAATTTACATCGTGTGTGTTTCTCTTTATCGGAGGACCATGTATCTATAAAAGTATAGAAACATACATCACACCGTACAACATCACATACAATGACTAAAAATAAGAAAAAAAATAAGATTAAGCAGTATAGGTCACAATCGTTTTTATACTGTTATTAAGCAGATATAGCTTTTTCACAAAATTAACAGGAAAAACGTAAAGTGTACTAGAGCATTAACTGATGTAATTAAAATGCCTTGTGACGAATTAAACAAAATCTTTATAGAGACAATTTTGTTATATCACGGATAGTCATAGAATTTCTTATTAGGTCTAAAAGGAAAAAGACAAACGAGCATAAGTTATGCGAGGCTTATCTTCCGACGAGATTTATTTTACATATAGAGATAGATTCGTTTACAGAAATCTGCAATAAAAGAAAAAAATAAACAAATCTCTTTCGTTTGCTGGTTGTCATGATGTGCATCTTGCAAGTTTGCATTTTTACCATCAGAACTTGTTCAACTTATACTTAAATATACAAACGATTATTATAATACATTTTTTATTAATCCTGTACATAATACGTGTTTCAGTATATTTATTGATAAAATCCTGTCCTGTTATTCTTTATGTAGATGATAATTTTCCTTCGAATGCGCATCGTAGTTTACGGATTCTTGTGCGGAGCCTGTATTCCTGATCATCATCGAAGCTAGCATATGTTCCAACTCTTTTATTTTCGCTTTGTCCTTTTGATGTATCGCGTGTGTACATAAACCCACAGTTTGTAATCGTTGATTGAGAATGATAGTGTCTTCGCAGGATTTCTGCAGATATCGATGCTCCTCTTTAAGTTTCGCGATTTTACTAAAAGGAATGATGAATTATAAAACTACAAGATTAAATTCTGATTTTATTATTAATGTTATCGTCGCAGAAAAATCTATCATAGAATCTGCCATTAAAATTTCATTCTGATTTAGATTAGAAATAAAGCCGCAAGTGTAAGATTAAATTTTAAAGAGGTTTTTTACAGCTGAACTAGCGTACACTTTTTTTACTTAAAGTGAAACAGTATATGTTTGAAATTTGACGAAAACGAGAAAGAAAGTTCTAGTGCAGCGCAGTAATAAAAAACAAACCTTACGTATAATAATATTACAAACTCCTAAAACTTTTAAAATGAATCTCGTTCTGAAAGGTGAGATCTCTTAAAGAAAATTGAGCCACTCATTTTCAAGACTGGCTCAATTTTCACTCTTTAAAATAAGAGTTCATTAAAAAAAATTTAAGATTGAGTGTTTTGTTTAACCGCTTCTAAGTGAGTACAGCGAATATTCGACAGGCTTATTCACGACGAGGTCAAACGTACTGATCGATAGCGGCGATAACACGCGAATTGTCATATTCAAGCTTCTTTAAAGCTTGCTCCATTATTTTGTTGCTCGTATCCCTCTGATGTAGCTTCTCTTCTAAGCTCCGAATTTTTATTTTACACTCAGCTTCGTGCGTCTTTGCGGCTGCGGCTTGACTCATCAGGGACTCGCATTGCTTCGTCATCGCGTCATACTTGATTCGCAATTGAACACTCTCGACCTGATTTTTCGTTTGCTGTTGCTGCGATTCGTTCGCCACCTCCGTGACCACTCTCAGACGCATCTTTAACTCGTGAGAAACTCTACGCTCTTTCTCCAGCTCCAATTCTGTGCTATATAAAGCGTGACGAGTTTCCAATAGTTCCTTCTGCGTCGTCTGCAGGGTAATCTGTCCTCGAAATGTACATAATTCATAATATAGTTAATAATTAAATGAATAAACTATTACAAAAAATTAGTATTTATTCTGTAACAAGAAAGATTTCTCTTCTTTAAAAAGATGCAATTCTTGTTAGTATTACTCTGCTTGATTTGGAAAAGAGATTAAGAATCAGTTTTCAAGTCATTTTCAAATTTAAAAGTAAAGAATTTTTATTCGAAAAATATTTTTTTCGAAATGAAAACTGTAATTTTCATAAAGATAATTTTGTATAAATAAATCCAATTAACTTAATCGGTAATTAATTTCAATGAGTTTCTAATCAATATATTATAATTATACCATAATAAATTATAAATAGTATCTATAATTTTACAATTAATATAACTATATAATTTGTCTTCTCTAATATCATAATCTTTATTTTCACATATTAACAAACAAATTGATTATATCTATTATCTATAATATATAATAATACTAATCCACATTATATCGTAATGGTTTAGGGTGATTTCGTCCAAATCCTGATTAACTTGATTAATTTAATTGAAATTGCAAAATTCTGACTGTATAATTTATATCATCCCAATATAATCTTTTTTTTATGTATTAAAAAACCAAACAGTAATTATTTTATTCACATTAGCAAACTAACTAGTATTTGTTAATGATTAATTAAGTTAAGTTTAGAGTTCGGTCGAAGTCGCCTCTTAGATCTCGCACTAAATATTCTCTAAATATCCTGTGACAGCTATATAAATATTCTGTAATATCTATAAGTCTCTGTGTATCATTAATATTGTTTCGTGTGTTAATTTAGGGCATGTTACAAGTGTACGCTGGGCGTAAAAGAGTTAAGTACGCTTCGAGTGTTAATCAATATAGTAAGTGGCATTATATTTTACCATGTTGCTTTGCAACTCATAAAACTGTTCACGAAATTGCCGTTCTAACTGGGAAAAATCTTGCACACTTGGCATGTTTTCATCATCCATAATTCGCGACGTAAGTACTCCCGCCTTGGAATAATTATTAAGCAATGCGGAATGTGCCTGAAATTATCAGCTTTAATTCTCGTTTTTAACGTTTGCAAGAGTTTTCAAATAAAGAAAAGAAAGACCCGATAGATTGTTAAGTAAGAAATTTAATTTAAATAATAAATTATGATATGAGATAACTTGTACGTAAAATTTTATACGTTTTATTTTAATTAGGATTTGCAATATATTTTCGTTCTGAAATATAATAATTGTGTATATTAGTTAACGCCGAATAGGTCTGAAGTTCTCAGCTTTACTTGCTTTTACCTGCGATTATTTTCAAGTGTAAGAATGCAAATGGCGGATTTTTAAACAGTTGACTAATAATTATACTTTATTAATTATAATTAATGTTATATGTATTCATAAATGAAATATAATATCAATAATTTATTATTAATATCCATAATTTAGAATATTTATTAATATCCATCAATGGCATAATATCAATGGATTTGTGAATTTGTTCCAAATACGTGATATTGTTTGTTTAATTTCGACATGTGTCTATTATTTAATACATTTGTCTTATTTTATTATTGTAATTATATAAAATTATTAATAAAACCTCTGCTAATATACATATAAAATACTTAATCTCATCTTGTTCTACATATTGCATTATTTTATTAAGCTCGTAAATCTTGGCTGTACTCGAGTTCGCATTCGTACTTTGCCATTTTTATTTTCGCATAAAATACCTGAATAGTGTCTGAGCATTTCTCCATTTTTCATTCTCATGTACTGCTGCATTAACCTTTCCAAAAGAAACAGAAAGATAGGTCACAGATGCTTAAAACGGGAACAAAGTGATTCGCAGAACTTCTCTCGTAATAACATCTATATAGAATCCTTCTACAGGGTGCTTCGTTTTATTTCTTACATTTTTTACATTTATAAATAATAAAAAAATTAAAAGAAGCTCTCATTAAAATTTAATAGTTTTGATAATGGACAAATTGTATTTAATTTAATGAGCCAATCTTTATCATTTTTAAAATGCATTAAGTGCTATTTAATATTTACGAATAGTTTTGAAAAATGACAATGCTTAAATGATATAAGATATGTATAAAATATCTCTTACTAAAATTTAATACAATACTTTAATAGTAAGTTTTTAATTAATACATGACGATTTACATTATAATATAAGAAGTTTGTGTGACAAATCAATTGTCTCTACAGTTTTTAATGCAATCAATATATATTTGAGACTTATGTGTGACTTTGAATAGCTAAATAATACTATCTCATGTTTAGGCAACAGACATTCTGAGAATGTCCTCAGGATGTTCAAAAGATGTGGACGTTCTCTGGATGTCCCTTGGACATCTATATAAGTATTATTATGCTCAAAGTATTGGTAATATATATATATATTTTTTAATAATAAGAACTCTTTATATCGTTTATATTTTTTTATACATCGTTCATATTTAATTTAATGAAATGTAGTTCCTAACAATTTTTATAAATCAATTAAACGTATTGTTTAATATTTATGTCATGTTTTGATTGATCACTTAACATTTCTTATTCATTATTATGAATTTTACAATTTGGCGAACATTATCACCCAGTATATTCGCCAGAATTACAGATGTGGCACGTAGACCAAATGGAGTTCTGGGGTTGAAAGCAGTGACGATGTAGAAAGAGAGAGAGAGAGAGAGAGAGAGAGAGAGAGAGGGAGAGAGAGAGAGAGAGAGAACAGAGGGTGACCGCATGCGCATCCCTCGGAATAGCGAGTCTTGGACCACCCCCGCCGATTATGGATGTTTAGTATCGACGTTGTTGCTAGCGTGTTGTCGCACGCTCCAGCATCCGATTGCAGGGTGTGATAATTGCGCCCAAGAGTGCGACGTAAGAGTATCCTGCTGTTTTGTGCGAGATAATGAACGGGATCGAAAGGCGGCAGTCAAGACCGATCGAGGACGCGCGATCATGCGTCCGCCTTGCTACCACGCTGCGTTAGCGTCCCTCGTCGTCGTTAATCATGGTCCTGCGTGACCGCGATTTGCCAGGACACCAGCAACATGCCGTGCGACGATCATTCGGGAAGGACGCGTACACGTGTCGCAGCGATAGCGACCACGACGTTGTTCCTGTTCACGTTGAATTTCAAGTGCATAGGTGCGTGCATGGCACTATTCCAGTGCGGATCTTGCAATCAAAATTCGCTTTTAAAGAACGTCGTAATTGATAAGAAAAGATATTTCTGAATAATAAATTAAAAAAATAAATATTATACGAAGGATAGAATTTGTAAATCTCTCGGATATTTATATATAGGCGATGCAGTTTATAGAGGAATCAACTTATGATTATATAATAATCTTGAATGAGATATCACATTTCTATATAAAAATTCTTATAAAAATGATATTTTCTTTTGAGGAAAAGTATTAATCGTATCTGTATTATTATAATTTAATTGAAATACAATATTATGTGTAAATCTTGTCTCGCCATGCGTGGAAGAGATCCGCATAGATTTAAAAAATCGGTTTTTAAATTCCAAAAACTGTAGATTTTATATTTCTTTATAAATATCGATCTTTAATACATTTTATTTTAAATAATTTTAAAGAATTAAATAATTTTAATTCTATCTTTTGATATTAGAAGATAAGCAATCTTTTCTATTTGTTAAAGCTTAAGGATGATACAATTTTATAATTTAAATAAGAATCTTTTAATTTTATTTTACAGTTAATTATTAAAAAAAATAATTAATTTTACTTTTTAAGCTCTACTTCTTATAATTGAGTTTACTTCTTAAATTAAAATTTTTGATCCAGGTTCTAAATCACCGTCGAACTTTTTGTATTATTTTCAAATACAATATAGAAAAATCTGTAATTTTTTAATAAAAAAATACAGTCTTAAGGCTAATTCTACAATGTGCTTTTTGTTTCCTGTTTCTTGCTGTTTGTCTCTGTTTGTCTCTTACCTTTTTGGTCAATAAGACAAGAGACAAACAGCAAGAAACAGAAAATGAAAAGCGCATTGTAGAATTAGCCTAAGTTATCTCTAAACAACATTCAAGGAGAAGCACGTGCAACTTCTTGACGCAACGACATATACCTAATAGGTTTCATGTGCTATGCGATCGAGTCGGATCGATTTCTATTCGGCGTTCATCGCGCAAGCCGCTATAAAACGTGATCGATTTTCGGACGCTGTTGCAAGGGTGTAAGCGAGCGTTCGCGAACTAAAAGTTACACTTTTAAATTCAAATTTTCTAAACATCTACCGTGTGTACTTGCAGATACCGAGAATTTGGGTCTGGACAACGTTTGCATATTAAAAGACCTTCATCCTCTTCTTATCGTCACCTATAAATATCTTACTATGTCTGTGAGTATATCGCTTTTGTGCTCTTTAACAGCGAAATTGTTAATATCAAAACTTAATAAGTTTGTTGATAGTAAGAATTTAAAAATCCAAAATTGAATAAGTTAACAAGTTTAAAATCTTATATTTATAAAAATTTTTATCTGAATTTGCATATAACGATTATTATTATTAATCGCAATTGATTGAAATTTCAAGTGATTTAATTATCAAAAAGAATAATCAGTAATATATCAAAAATAACTATATTTCCAGTCAAAAATCATTAGCCCATCAACGTTAAATCCATGTTAATTCAATATCGATCGACGTCGAATCAATATTAATTTAAGGTCCAATCATTTCTGGCGTAGATTCTTTTTATAACATAATGAAATATTTTAATTTATTATTACAGACTGTAAAATAAAGCTTTATTACTATTTAAAAACCAAGAAATTTTAGTAAAAAAATACAAAGAAAACATAACAGAGTTAAAAAATGTAAATTCGGGATCTCTTTTCTAGTTCTTAGTCTTGAATATTTTAGAGAGCAAATATATATTACAGATACACACAATTCGTGTACCTCACAATGAACGGCTAATGGTGAGATGTCGAGAGATAGGTAAATACAAGTTTATCGGCGATTCCTTGTTGCACTGCCGCAATGGCACGTGGGACGGAAAGACACCTAGTTGCGTGTCTACCACGGCAATCTCCAATTATACCGGTACGTAATATAATATAATATAATCGCATTTAAAATTTCTACATCGCAAATGCCTAACAGATACGATGGAAACAATAGACGTATATTCAAGAGGCTACTCCAATTATTCAAAAAAATTATGATTGATGAAAATAAATATATGGGAATATTATATGGGAAATATATAGCAATATGTACAGATATATTTTGATGTGTCCTATGATTTTTTTATATTACCGTATGATATGTCGTAGACATTTCTTTTAAATTTTGATCCTCGCGTTTTTCGAGGATAAACAGAGGATGTACCACCAACCATTGACTTCGGTCTACCTACTGGTTCGGCCGTAGTAGAGCCGACCGGTGCACTCGCCGTTTACCCAGGAAGTATCCTACATCTGGAGTGTCTCTTTGCTAGGAAGTTGGGCAATCCTGAATGGACATGGACCTCAACATTCCGTCGATATCTGACAGGTAAATCTGAAAGGTCTCATTGAGACCTTGAATGTTTGTATCTTTAAAACGTACGGATTTAAATAAGAATTTGTTTTCTTAATAATTTGCGAAATTTAAACCTTTATCTTAAATATAATTTATATTATATATTTATTTTTTATTTACTTGTCCTAGGATGGGCGATCGCTGCACGGGAAAGAGACTTGAAGTATCGCCTGTCGATATACTACGCCAAACCTCCGGATTCCGGAGTATACACGTGTACCACACCGAAAGGATTGAACAACTCTATACAAGTTCGTGTTGTAGGTACGGTCACTAAATAGAACTTTTGTAAAAAAAATAATATGTTATTTTTAGAACTTATGATAATTACATTGATTGCATTCGTCAGTAACGAGGTAATTCTATTATATTAGAAAAATTTCTGATTGAAAATGAACGAGTCAGAAGATCACTGATTTATATATCAATCAGAATTCTGATTATCTCAACTAAACTTGTAATAGATTCAACCAGAAAATTTTTATTTATCTATTTTTAGCCAAAATTTCAATTAATGGAACCGGACTC